AATTAAGGTGTGTTGTATCAGTTGGTGTTGTGCACTTGGTGGTTCGTGTGCCAGGTTGCATTGCAGAGTGAAAAGGACATTACATGAGATGGGGTGGGGTGGTATTGAATAGAAGAGAATAGAATGGAACAGGAAGGGAAGGGAAGGGGAGGGAAGGAAGGGGATCAGTCGAGATGATGCGGCATGTATTGGGATGTGGTAGTCTGAGCGGGCTACTTGCTGATGCCTAAAATGAGGTGGGACAGCACTGATGCACACCGTGTTCACCACTCCATTTTGAGGGCTTAGGTAAACAACCACCTGAATGTATATGCATCTCATCATCTTATTTTAGCATTACTTCTGCTTCATTAGGAGGCAGGATTTATTGACTGAGTTAGTTAGTTAGTTGGCGCAGAAGCCTTTTGTGCAACTTGGAAGGCAGATAATTGTGGATGAAGCAGAGGACACGCTGCCTGCCTTCGCGGTGACTTTGTCAGTATAACAACCGACTTGTAGCGCTGTGTAGTATGTCATTGGGGCAGCAAGTTCGTGGAAGCGCTGCCTAACTCGAATGCCTGCGCCCATTCACTGGAACATTTGGAGGAGACGAGTAAAAGTCAATAGTTGCACAATGCAATGTGTCTCAATAGACTGGATACATGCGAAAGTGCAGACTCTGGGCTAGGATGATGTCGAATGGCCTAACGAAGTATAGGCATGTCGATTTTACGGAGGTCAATTACGCAACACCTGTACAATTTGTATGGATCTTGTGCTATGCGGATGTCAACTGATATAATACCACGTCTACTTATGTGGAATTCAGCCTCTCCGTATAACAGGGTAACATAGCAGGAAATGCGCCAGAGCATTTGATTCCTGCAAGGACATGCACTCCATAATCGTATCTGCATGCTTCTTTATTACAATTGATAATGGAATCACTAATCCGAGTCGCATGGATATGCAGGGATACTTTCCTTGGCGCTTTGGTCATTGGCTCTGTGATGCTCTGAATCGATGAAATTGTTTCACTTTAGTTGGGTCTGAGCAGGAGCTTTGCATACTCACCCAATTTGGGGTGCTGATTTTGCAACAATTGTTCCTCTTATCCAATCATTGATTATTTGAGTGGCTCAAATCGAGAGTGACTTATTGGAAATCGATGAATCTCATTGGCTTAATTCGGCGGTTCAGCGCACTACTTGCTTAATTAATGCAAGACGTCAATTTTATGATGAAGCCTGGATTGCCTCCACGACTGCGGATCAGTTGTTTGCTCTACGCCATAGGCTGTTGATAATCAATAAAGTGGTTTTGCCACGCCTACCCCTCGCCATGAAAAGTTAAGTGGGGTGGTGGGAGTGGTATTGATTTGACTGTCAGTCATTAATTGCCTCTCCAAGGCAAGTAACACTAAGTAGGACCGAGTGGGCCTTTGAGAATTGATGAAGATATGCAGCCTTATTTATGCTTTGAGGGCTTTGTGGGCCTAAGTCATGTGTCATAACAACTTTTCACCCATAACTTATTGAGAACTGATAAATGGACTTATTGACTTGCCCTTCTATAATTGGCTAGCATGGGTACTTTTTTGAAAGGCAAATCTCAAATCACGATGCTGGGATTTTATCCTCACCTCTTCAGATGCCAGATGTGAATAATTTGTGTAACGAGTGAAAATGTCCCACTGATTGCAAAACCATCCCGCGAATGGGTATCAAAGACTTCGTTCAAATTTGTTCCGCTGAGTAATCAAGGCCTTTTTTTTCTCACATGGTATAGTCTGAGGCAAAACCGAGAGTGACGATGTGTGTTGATTTACAGGCGAATAAGCTGTGTTCCACCAGCAAATTTCTCGTGAATAAGTTGACAGAGGAGCAGGTGGAGGAAGAGAGAGGAGTACTCCCGGGTTGGAGGAAGTTTAATGCTCATAAGGATACACCAACTTGATGTCTTCCAATTTATGTCCATGTTCGTGAAGTGGCAACGACAGTTTCTACATCGTAAACGACATCTTCAGTGTTTCCCCTCAGGCCATTGGAAGTAGCTGTTTTTGATGGTCCGAATTGCCATGCGGAGGTTGATTTTCTGCATAATATGGTGGGTGTTTACTCTTTCACCTTATTCGCGACTCCTTGCCCTAGGGTTGCTACGGCTATGCACGGAAGGATGAGGCGAGGAGGAAAGGAAGTGCAAGCCCTTAGAAGTTGTTCGTGTTCGATATGGAGGTAGCTGATTGTGAACATTTTGAACAGAGCGGGTGGACTTTCTTTCTGTTACATAGGTTGGGCGTGGTCGGGGTGCGGATCCCGAGGGAATTCTTTGAAAGGACAGAGTTGGCAAGAGGAAGTGAGGAAAAGTGTAACAAGGTAGATGTTTAGTAGTTTTGGTTTTGATAAATGTCGATTTTTGATGGATGCAGATTGCCCCAATGCTGAACCGTCCACCCCTTTTGGGTGTATGTTCACGTTACCAACTCATCTGCAAGAGATCCATGTGTGAAATGTCAGCAAATTAATTAGACACATAAATAAGTTTAATCTATTCATCAAACTAGCCATCCCTGATTTATTCACAAATTCGTTAGTTTAACATAATGTGTGCGTCCATCCAATATCCATCTTGTACCATTCATCGTATACCAGTCATCCATCCATCCACCCATTTAACAACCTTTTACCAATCCAGGTAACATTTATTCTTGCATTTAATATCTATCCATCCCACATTCATTCATTCATTCAGTGATGCATCCCCCGTGTGCTTTCATTAAGCTATCTGGGCTTCATTCCCTCCATCTATTCATCCTGGTACTATTCATCCATGCGTTTCCCCCTGGGTGCATCGCTCCACTCACATCAACTCCATCCATCTACGCCCCTCACGTTCTGATTCCATTTACGTATCGCGTATCCATGGCTGTTGGGTTCATCTTCAGTGACAGTGACAAATTAGCACCTTAAATGTATTAGTTGAGGGATTGGGCGGATCCGATTCCACATAGTTGATCGGGTCAGTGGTAGACGAGCAGCCTAGCCTAAAGTGACACTAGACTCTCTGCTCACAATTGTGGTCACATCAATCTTTCGAATAGTTTCAGTTTTGGTTCCGGACTCTTGGTCTGCTTAGACACCAACCCATCACCTTTGGGGCCTTCTCTCCTCTCCAAGTAATCCAAGCTTAGAGCCTGCTTTGATGCCAATTAATCTTCGTTACGCGGCTTATTTGTATTATCGCTCGAGAGGGCGGATTGCGTGACCCTCCTTGACCTTGGGCGGTGTCGATTTTTGCTTTTACACTGAATCTCCTCATTTGCCTTATGCGACCAACGCGGTTATCGTGGTGCCGGCATCTGACACTCGCTATGCACCTGATATTACTATGCACCTACGTGTCGCATCATCCGTGGATAGGCTGGTCGACGGTTTTAGCAGGAATGCTGATGTACCAGAAGGTCGCTTTGTGCACACTAGCGATGCTTTCGTGTGCATTGTAGAGATTAATAGTGTTACAGAAGTTCATGCGTCAACAGAGGAGAAGTGCGAATGCATTTCGTGGGAGAGGGTTAAAACTTATGCGATTAAGGAGAACTTCATGTGCCATTCATAAATAAGTCGATGCTTCATCTAATTAGTGACCTCTACAGTGCCATCCATTCAGCTGACCCAAATAAATACCAATGAACCCTTCCAACTGGTGAAAACACATCCCGGATGATTGCCTCACTAGCCAACTACACGCCACTAGGAGTGCGAGTGCACATTGGTGTGAAAAGGCAATAGGAGGAGAAGGAGGAGGAGAGAAAATGCGAGGATCGGAGAACAGACTGTGGGGCTGTGAGGGAGGCGTGAGAGGGTGGACAGTGATGAAAGATTTGGCTATGGTAAGGTGATAAAAGACAGTCGCTCAGCACCCGTTTGGCCCATCGACTGGCATGGCGGTGGTGGCAAAGCCAAGATGACAAGTCAATTGGACATTACCGCCACCACCACCAGCATACCAGCAATGCGATCAACCAGACAGCCGGCCAAGCCAGCAAAAGAGCCACGACAACCGGCAAACCACACCGTTGCTTGTGGTTGCACTAGTGGCTGCACCCACTGACAGCTCGAAGCCTAATGACGCTGACGGTACAACGAACGACACGTGTTGTCATCACGGTTGGGTAGCCGGGAGCAGGTTTGACTGACGTCCTGGTAATGCGTACTATAGGAGTGATCCATAGAAGTGCGATATCAAAGCGCACCTAAGCCTCATACCCTGCCCACAACCAGCCTCCAT